TACTAATACCCCTATTTATAATGGTATAAAACCTATTTCAATTAGGAACCTAAATACTTATTCCTATACAGTTTTGACAATAAATGTAGCTTTTAGAGATTTTACAATAAAATATTTTCCATCATATTGGTATCAGAGCTAGCAATCTATACCATCAAGTGACGTGAGATATTTTTTCCTGATATAGCATAAAATACGTTTCCTTTGGCTTCTCTTACCATGTTCACAGGAGATAACTATCAATGATGGTTGTGACGATTAAGAACTACTTATAATATTTTTATTTGTGGAAAGCAGTTGAAGAAGATGATGAGACATCACATTGCCGGCCAATCCAACTTTAGCATAAACCAAGCAATTGCTTTAGTAGCTTTTCTCTAGAGCCGGCACTTAAGTATAGATGGGCATAGTGAGCTTCTAAAACCGTGGGTACCTGCTGGAGTTAAAATTTTCGCTCTCTTTTGGGAAGTTTTCTTAGCTTAGTAGCGTGTTGTGGTTTTGAAAATAATGGACACGACTAAGAAGATTTTTCAAAAAGAAAGGCGGTAAGCTTTTTGTACTACGAACTTTTCACTACTTAATTAATGCACGTTTGAATGTTAAGGTAGAAATCATTAAAGTCTTACTTTTATTTGATAATTAAAAAACTATTGAGAAAAAGAAAATTCAAATTCACCCTTGAAGATTCGCTTTTTGCTATATCTGCTCTCCATGAATCTTTTATCCATAAAATCCTTAATTTTGTCCCATATTTTTTTCTTCTCAGAAATGGTTGTCTACCTTAGCTCTGAATTTTTTTTGCATGGAGATATATCGATAAAGAAATGGAGAAAAATACTTTATTATAAAATCTCTGAAATCTCTCTGCAGTNTGAAAGAAGAAGTCAGGTAAAAATCCTTTAAGCCAGTTCTCAACTCGTTTACTCCTCACGATAACCGTAATCATAATTATACCGTTGCGGCGTGCAACCCGATCCATATATATATATATATATATATATATATATATATATATATATATATATATATATATATATATATATATATATATATATATATATATNGATCCGTACAGTATACTGCTGCGGCGTGCAGTCCTATATATATATATATATATATACTGCTGCGGCGTGCAACCCGATCCAGTAATAATAGTCGACTGCGCTCACTGGGGTGTGCAGACTCCGGAAGGGCTCCTACAGCCCAAGCGCTATACTACTGCGGCGTGCAGTCCGATCCAGTAATATACTGCTGCGGCGTGCAGCCCGATCCATATAAATATATACTGCTGCGGCGTGCAGCCCGATCCATAACATATCAATTACCCTCACTATGGGGTTCTCAACCCCTCTCAGTCACTATAAACTTAGCCTCTCGGGCATACTAAGATAAGATAGGGATCCCAGCCCACATATTACTCTCCTTTTGGTTTAGTTATTCCAAAGCCGGTTCATATTAGATTAAATAGTTAGAAACATGACTGAGGGTATGATTTTAACGAGTAAAGTGAGGTCGATCATGTACAATTACCCCTAAGGGTTTTACAAGTCGGCACAAGGCCACAAACATGGCAACTAGCCCAGAATACAATGATATTAATTAAGGCTCAGTCAAAACACAGTAGAATCATCAATCGGGATGGACCGAGTCCGAATACCCAGCAATAATGGACCCCACGCTCATCATGCAGCGTGTGTCTCACCTCAACATAGCACTACGTTGTGCAAATCCGGGGTTTCAATCTCTCAGGACATTATTTATAACAATTACTCACCTTAAGCCGGCCAAAGTCCTAGCTCGCTATGCCCTTGCCTCGCAAATCGACCTCCTCGCGCGTCGAATCTGGCTAAAACCACAATGAATACGTTACAATAGACTAAGGGAATATAACCCAATCGAAAAGACCCGAAAAACATCAAAATTCACGAAGTTGGCAAAACCCGAGCCCCGGGCCCACTTCTCAAAAAATCAGAAAATTAACATCACCGGATTCCTCATCTCGCCACGAGTCTATGCATATCAAATTTACCAAAATCGAAGTCTATTTGGCCCCTCAAATTCCATTTTAAAACACCAAATTCCCAAGCCCTAGCTTTACACTCTTTTGATGAATCTCAACCAATTTCCATGTTAATTCTACCATAATTTCATGTATTTAGGCCAAGGAACTTACCTCCAATCACACCTTGTCGAAATCCCCCTTCAATTCCGTCCAAGAGCTCTCAAGTTTGCTTAAAAATGGTGGAAATGGAGTAAAACTCGCGGAACAAAATAAGCTTAAAAACCCTTCTGATAACAGGGATTTTCGCATCTGCGATCCCCCACCGCATCTGCGACAACCGCTTCTGCGGTTATTTTTCCACTTCTGCAGATCCTCACTTAAAGAACACGACCGCTTCTGCGGTCCCCTACCGCATATGCGGACCTCGCTCCTGCGGAATACGGTCCGCTTCTGCGGAAATTTCCAAATCCACCTCCTCCGCTTCTGCGACACGAATACCGCATCTGCGGCCTCGCAGGTGCGGCTACCCTTCCGCATCTGCGGAATCTTCCAATCGAGCCATGGACTGCACCTGCGACCAATCACCCGCATTCCGCAGATGCGGAAACACCAGATACCAGCAAAACCTGCAATTCACCAAGGTTCAAAACTCCCCGATAGCCATCCGAAATCATCCCGAGGCCCCCGGGACCTCAACCAAAGACACAAACATGATCCAACACCTTATTCAAACTTGCTCGAATCATCAAAACACCACAAATAACACCTATACCATCAAATTACATCAAATTCAAGCCTAAGTTTATCTAAATCTTCCGAAACTCGCATTCGATCAAAAACCCAACCAAAACACCTCCGAATGATCTGAAATTTTGCACACACATCCAAAATAACCTAACAAAGCTACAGCAACCCTCGGAATTCCATTCCGACCCTCGGATCAAAATCTCACCTATCAACCGGAATTCGCCAAAATACTAACTTCGCCAATTCAAGCCTAATTCTACACCGGACCTCAAAAATAAATTGTGATCGCACTCCTAAGTCACAATTCATCCCCCGAAGCTAACCAAATCACCGAAAATCACTTCCGATCCCTCTAACTCATAGATCAACATCCAGTTGACTTTTCCAAAACAAGCCTTCCTTAAAGAGACCAAGTGTCTCATTTCCATCCAAAACCAATTCGAATCGACTCATTCACCCGAGACTCTTGTAATAAGACATAATGAAGCAGAAAATGGGGAAAACGGGGCGGTAACTCACGTGACGACGGGCCGGGCCGTCACAGCATCATGATAAGTAATTCCTCATTACCCAAATCATTGTGGATGTATGCTCTTAAAACCGTTGTATATTTATTAAATAGGGTTCCTAGTAAGGCAGTTCCAAAGACCCCTTTTGAACTGTGGACAGGAAGGAAGCCTAGTTTAAGGCACCTGCATGTTTGGGGTTGCCCAGTGGAAGCTAGAGTTTATAATCCACAAGAAAAGAAATTAGATTCTCGAACAGTAAGTGGTTACTTTATTGGTTACCCAGAGAAATCTAAAGGGTATGTGTTTTACTGTCCAAACCATAGTTCGAGAATTGTTAAAACCGGTAATGCAAGATTCATTGAGAATGGTGAAGTTAGTGGGAGTGTTCAAAAGCAAAGTGTGGAAATTAAAGAGGTGAGGGTCAATATTCTATTACCCAAAAATGTGCCTACTTCCACACAAATACCAAATATTGTTCCAGTTGTTCAAGAACACTTTGAAAACACCGAGCAACATTTGGATGAAACACTTCATGAAGAAACTAACTCACAAATATCTGCCACAAATGGAACACAAGAAATGCCATTAAGAAAATCTCAAAGAGTTAGAAAATCGGCTATTTCGGATGATTACGTGGTTTATTTGCAAGAGTCATATTTTGACATTGGTCTTAATAAGGATCCGATTTCATTTTCACAAGCCATAGAAAGTAGTGAGTCTGACAATGGATTGATGCCATGAAGGAAGAGTTAAAATCCATGGAATACAATAAAGTCTGGGATCTTGTTGAATTGCCAGAAAGTTCTAAAAGAATCGGGTGTAGAGGGGTCTTTAAGACCAAACGCGATTCAAATAGCAATATTGAGAGATACAAAGCCAGACTTGTTGCCAAGGGTTATACTCAGAAAGGAGGCATTGATTATAAAGAGACCTTTTTACCGGTCTCAAAGAAAGACTCGTTAAGAATTATTATGGCTTTGATGGCTCATTATGATTTAGAGTTACACCAAATGGATGTGAAAATTATCTTTCTTAATGGAGATCTCGAGGAGGAAGTTTATATGGATCAACCAAAGGGTTTCGAAACTAAAGGAAAAGGTCAAATGGTATGTAAACTGAAGAAGTCAATATATGGACTTAAACAAGCTTCACGGCAATGGTATATATTTAATGATACCATAAAATCTTTTGGATTTGTGGAAAATACCGTTGATTGGTGTATATACCAAAAGATCAGTGGGAGCAAGTTTATATTTTTAGTCCTATATGTTGATGATATTCTACTTGCTGCTAATGATTTAGGCACATTGCGTGAGACTAAAGATTTTCCCTCTAAGAATTTTGAAATGAAAGATATGGGTGAGGCATCCTATGTGATAGGAATAGAAATATTCTGTGATAGATCACAAGGATTATTGGGATTGTCTCAGAAAGGCTATATCGAAAGAATTCTAGAGAGATTTAGTATGAACAATTGTTCAGCAGGAATTGTTCCAATTCAAAAGGGGGACAAATTTAGTCTCATGCAATGCCCTAAGAATGATGTAGAGTGAAAAGAAATGGAATCAATTCCTTACTCTTCTATTGTTGCTAGTCTGATGTATGCTAAGACTTGCACAAGACTGGATATTAGTTTTGCGGTCAAAATGTTGGGAAGATATCAGAGTAACCCAAGAATTGATCATTAGAAAGCTGCAAAGAAAGTTTTGAGGTACCTGAAAGGAACGAAGGATTACATGCTCATGTATAGGAGGTCCAAGCATTTGGAAGTTGTTGGATACTCGGATTCAGATTTCGCTGGATGTATTGACACTAGAAAATCCACGTTTGGTTATTTGCTCCAATTAGCTGAAGGAGCAATATCGTGGAAGAGTGCTAAACAGTCTGTCATTGCTACATCCACGATGGAAGCAGAAATTATGGCATGTTTTGAGGCCACAATTCATGCATTATGGGTGCGAAACTTTATTTCAAGACTTGGGGTTGTCGACACCATTACCAAGCCGCTGAAAATTTACTGTGATAATTCTGCAGCAGTATTCTTCTCCAAGAACGATAAGTACTCTAAAGGTGCCAAACATATGGAATTAAAGTATTAGAAACAAAGAGTGTCACTTGAGCATATTAGAAATGATCTCATGATTGCAGATCCGTTAACGAAAGGTTTATAGCCAAAGATATTTAAAGAACATGTACATAGAATGGGTCTTGGTTCTATTTATGATTGATGTATTTATGATGTTTTGACACTCTGAGCTCATTTATGTATTTCTGATATACTAATAGTGATTTCCTGTTTCTCATAATGGTGTACACATTATTGTTTTGAGATATTACAAGATAAGACTCAATGAGATATTATTGTGGACCATAATATTTTATAGCTTATGGACCTCGTACGATGAGTTGCTAATGTTGTAGTATATGGAAGGGAGTATGTAGACAAATTATATATAAACGCCATAACTCACATTTAGTAGTTTATCGTATTATGGTATTTATGATGGACATTATAGAAGAGATTTGTTTATGTGCAACTAATGTTCCTATATTTAATATTAATATTATGTGATTATTGGGCCAAGTGGGAGAATGTAAGTTATTTTTCCTACGTGTATGTGGCCCAATAGGTTTAAGGCCCATAATTAATATTTGATTAATTATCAAATCTCATCCGTCCGATTGGTTACTTGATGGACGTACCAGATTATGTGAGAACCTCTATAAATTGGTCCTCTCCCCACCCACTAGGGTTACCCTATTTTATTTTCTTTCTCCCATCACGAAAGGCGACGGTAACGAAAGCTAGGGCAAGGGGCGAGAAACCAATTTACTGATTAACGCTTCCGCTTCAAGACAATGAATTCCGCTTCAGGTATTTTTCTATGACGATTACATGTAAGATTATCATGTTCAAGGTCCTGGAAGAATTATAGTTTATGCTTACAAATATCTCTTCGATTGCCGAGTTCAATTCCTGGAAAAGCTAGGGCAAGGGGCGAGAAACCAATTTACTGATTAACGCTTCCGCTTCAAGACAATGAATTCTGCTCCAGGTATTTTTCTATGACGATTACATGTAAGATTATCATGTTCAAGATCCTGGTAGAATTATAGTTTATGCTTACAAATATCTCTTCGATTGCCGAGTAGTTCAACTCCTGAAAAATCCCCGATTAACGCTTCCGCTTCAAGACAATGAATTCCGCTTCAGGTACTTTTCTATGACTTACATGTAAGATTATCATGTTCAAGATCCTGGTAGAATTATAGTTTATGCTTACAAATATCTCTTCGATTGCCAAGTAGTTCAACTCCTGGAAAATCTCCCCCCCTCTTAAGTTGCTCTTTATAAAGGCGAAACAATACTGTCTGTATCCGTTGTGGTAAAGAGAGACTAAATTTCTTGCAGGCTTAAGACAAAATACATAAGTTCCCTCTAAACACTGAATTATAAGAGAAAAGAATTTAAAGACCTGACCCATTTGACAAAAACCCACCCTAATAAAACATCCGACCTAATAAAACAAGCCCTCTTTGGTGATGGGGCATCAGCTGTCATTATTGGTTCAGATCCAATTTTAACGGTAGAAACGCCTTTGTTTGAGATTGTATTCGCAACTCAAGCTCTTCTCCCTGATAGTGGACATGCAATCTATGGTAACCTCAGTGAGGCTGGTTTAGTAGCCCATATACATAAGGATGTTCCAATGCTAATCTCAAAAGACATTGAGAGGATCATGGAGGAAGTATTCCGGCCTTTGAGCATTTCGGATTGGAACTCCATCTTTTGGGTAGCTCATGCAGGTGGACGTGCAATTTTGGATCAAATTGAAGTAAAGGTGGGCCTAAAGCGTGAAAAACTCAGAGCTACAAGACATGTCATGAGTGAATATGGGAACATGGGCAGTGCTTGTGTTCTGTTTGTTTTGGATGAGATGTGGAAAACCTCTATTAAGAAAGGGTTAGGTACCACCGGTGAAGGGCTAGAGTGGGGCGTGCTTTGTGGTGGACCCGGGCTAACTGGTGAGACAATTGTCCTTCACATTGTCTCTATTTAGGTTATTCACTTAGTGATCGGTCCGCTAGTTCACGCAAATCCGAAGAAGTTATCACGGACGAGCCACATGCAGGGAAACTTACACGTGTGGTTCTGGCCGGGAAATTTGAATTGTTTGAAGGGGAGTCTTGACGTAACTGGTAAAGTTGCCGTCATGTAATGTGATCAGGAGGTTACGGGTTTGAGTCGTGAAAACAACCTCTTGCAAAAAGCAAGGTAAGATTGTGTACAACAGACCCTTGTGGTCCGACCCCTTGAACCCCGCGTATAGCGGGAGCTTAGTACACTGAGCTACCATTTTTTTTTAAGTTTGAATTGTTTCTTTGCTTTAAATTTTCTGTTGTTGCTATTATGTATTTTTCTGCACCAGTTGTATAGTTTCGTGGGAAATCTCATGCACTAATCATATCTTGCAATAACTGACGTTATCAGATGAAAATACAATATTAAGGTCATTAACATAAGCTAAATGGTTAATTTGTGGACCATTTGGCTTCATGTAAAGACCTCTTAATCTGTGATTGTTATATAAAGGGCAAAGACCTTGAAAGAACATAAAGGGCAGCCCGGTGCACTAAGCTCCCGCTATACGCAGCCTTCGCGGAAGGACCGGACCACAAGTGTCTATCGTATGCAACCTTACCCTACATTTTTGCAAGAAGTTATTTTTACGGCTCAAACCTGTGACCACATGGCAGTAACTTTACGGCCGAGGTTCCCCTTCAAGACTTTGAGAGAACAACAAAAGCTATAATAAATAGAGATGAAAAATGGGATTCCTTGTTTGAGACCCCTGGTAGATTTGACGAAACCTTTTCTATTCCCACTTATAATTAATCAATAACAGAATACCAATATTTGTAAATCAAATTCCAAATGGTATGTATTCATTGTTCAGAGAATAATATTATTTGAACGGTTATGCTTATATAGCAGTTCTGTTGTTCTCTACAAGTACATAAGATGAACATGGTTAAACCAGTATGTACTTAAACAAAAACAAAAACCTTTGTGGCCCTAATACAGTAACTATTTTCAAAGACAGGACTGATCAGACGTGTCAAGTGGAAGCTATTTTTACTTTAGATTGTGGGTTGATTTAAGTTTGATCAATATTGTTTCTTTGCTTTAAATTTCTTTTGTTTGCTACATTATGTATTTGTCTATTTACAATTGCAAATAATTAGGCAATTTACAGAAGTCCTTTGCCTGAAAGGTAAAGTAGTATCTTTCTACTACAACTTTGTACTGCATATTCTCATTGGACAATTTGCAAAAGTAATCTGTGACGTGTAGGTAGGGGCGTACAAAGGAAATCGACAAACCGCACCAATCCGATAATTCGAGTCAAACCGAGAAAAAAAACCCGACCATGATTTGGTTTGATTTGGTTTGGTGTTGGAAAAAATAACCCGATCATAATTGGTTTGGTTTGGTTTTAACTAAAGAAAGTCAAACCGAAACCAAACCAACCCGACATTACATATATAGAAATTTTAGATATAATTAATATATAAATATACATATTGTGATATAATTTATTAATATGTCTTAAAAAATTTCATAATTTTATCTTTTAAGGTATTATTTCAAGGTTGGACTTAGAACTTTTGAATGTTCCAATAAGTTTTATTGCCATTAACAGTAGTAAATTAAATAATGCTAACAAAAGCCAAACCAAAATCAAATCAATACTAATGCTAACAAAAGACATTCAATTCAATACTACGAACGGGAATGTATTGAATAACTATTTTTTGTTTTGCAATAATTTAGATAAAAATGCATAACCTATTTTTATTTTTTCTTTAGCGTTTAGTCATGTAATTAATACTCCCTTATTAGCCTACTTATTTTCGCATGGCTTGGTACTTTTAGATTATGTTTATTCTATTATGACTTTTTAATTAGCAATATATATATTACATAATTTTATTGTCTTTATTGTTGAATATTTTAGGATAATGCCATGACACATCTCATATTTTGTATTATTTTCTTGGAAAATACTTTATATAGTTGTATCTTACTAGGATTAAAGAAATATTTTGAGCACAATTTATAT